TGAGTTCATAGTAGCCGTTAGCTGCACTGGCGCCGTAGGAGATAGCCACTAATAAATGGTAATTTTGGCATCTTCTATTCACTGAAAATGGTTGACGTAAATTTAATAGTACAGTACATAAAAACTTAAAATCCCATAGACAACACTTTTTAACCATATTTTACTTTGAATCCAAACCACGATAATTGAATTTTAAGGAATAATACTTCTCTACTTCTATTCAAAGAAAACAAAGTGAAAAATACTATTTCTATCAAATGTTATGATGATTTTTTTTTATTATTCAGCGACAAAAATGTGTACAGTATAATTTGAGGTGTACAGTACAAATTATTTATGCTTACCTATCTAACGGCCATTTTTAAAAGAAACAGCGAATAGTATCTACCGAGTTAATAATTGAGGGGACTTCAAATTATATTTGGGAAATTATACAGCAAGCAGAATTTTTTCAGGGCACAAAATATTACTGATAAAGGAAAACTATGAACATATAACAATCCTTGTTGCTAATATATCTAACATGTAGGAGTTTTTCGGCATTACGAAATATGATTTTTTTGAATCAATTTACATTTGTATGGTCATAGAATAATAAGCCCTGAGATTCAAACAAACTATTGTGTCGCAAATTTTGCGAAAATGGACAAAGATTTCCCTCAAAGACAGCATACAGGTTAAAGTAAAAAACTGCAATAAAGTCAAAGGCCATATGTTTTACTTTTTATTTTAAATTTTATTGAATGAAAACAAAAAATGTCGGAAATAACCTCAAATTTTAGAATGAGTTTAAATTTGTTCGAATTGGTCACAATTGGCACGAACTCTGACCTTCAAATGGCCAATGAAACGTCACACGCTGTCCGAATGTTGCTCTGCGGTATTTTGGTCCATTACTGGCGAAGCGCTTGCTTGAGGCGATCGACACTTTGGTATTTTTTAGTGCCAACATTGCTTTCCAAAATACTCCAGACACAATAGTCCAACGGATTGGTATCCGGATATTTTGGTGGCCATTGCGCGCTGGAAATGAAGTGAGGAACCTCATTTTGTAACCATTCTTGGGTGGCGCTGAGTACGAAGGTGCGGATTCCTGTTGGAATGTCCAAGGTTTGCGGCCAAAATGTTTGCGCGCCCTAGGCTTTAATACACCATCCAGAATATTTCGCGATAATATTCGGCATTTATTCTGATGCCACGCTCGATTAATACGAGCGGAGAGCGACCATCGGCTTTATACTATTACATTAGAAACGAAGGCTAAAATGAATATATATGAGAAAACGCGAACCTATAAAACAATTTTCTATCACAGTAGATAGAGCCGAATTTGAAGATATTCCACTGGGAAATGAGGCTAAAATCATTAAAATACCTAATCTGGGGTGGAATATTACATGGGGCTGTATGAAAACGTTGATCGATATGGCTCATTTTCGAACTTGACCTGCCAGCAGACAAAAAACAACTCTATGCAAAAGCTGAGCTTTATATAACAAGCCGTTCTGACTCTAGCATGAATAAGACAGGCAGACAGACGGACGTACATGGCCAAATCGACCTACTTACTTGGGTCTAGCCACAAAATTGTGGTATCGCATATTAAGAGTGGAAAGAAAATAAAAATTGTGTATTTTTCATATGAACAACGAAATTCAATAAAAATGTTAAGATAATCCTAATTGTTTCTAATACGCCCTAATAAATTAAAACACCTCATATCATCATTTTATTTACTTCATTGGGTTTTTTTATTGATATTTTCAATTAATACAAGTTTTTCTTTTGTGAAGTTTTTTTGTTTGTAATATTGTTATTCAATTGTTTATTTCGTTTGATCTTTTTTTAAATTTTACTTTTGATACGTTTTGGTTTTCGTTTTTCTCTATATTCCAATGGTATTTGAAATTACCATTTTTGTTTTAAGTTTTTCTGTTTTTGGAAAATATGTGAGTATGAATTCTTTAATGTATTTAAAACATATATAATTGTTTATTAAATATATATTTTAATTTCCTGTTTACCATGTATAATCCGTGGTCGTATATATATATTTTATTTGTGGTTTTGAGTAACATTTAAAAACTTTTCTTTGTTTCATGATTCTCCGCGTGTGTGTGTATGCTTTTTGTTTTTTTTTACTATTTTACGAGTAATTTATTAATTATAAGATTATTATTATTAATAATCAAAAACACCATTGTACGGTGTTCAAGTTTTGTAATAAATTCGATAAAATGTTTTTGTTGTAGTTTTTTCTTTCGCTTAATGATAATACATTTTTGCAAATTATTGCGCCTCTACTTCCGTATGTGTGTTTTAAATTGGTGTAGCTTTAATTTAAGAAAGAAAAAGAAAAAAAGAAAAACTTCGTTTTACCTTAGTAAAGTTGATTTATAGTTCTGAACTTCTCCTTGTTGCCTAGTTTTTCATATCATTTATTAATAGTTTGCACTCCAAGTACCCCTTTTGAAATAACTTGATGGCGTTTGCTGTTCCTTTGTTTATTCGAATGTTTTTGGTACCAGAAGAAGAGTTGTTTATTTTCGCTCTATTATCATCCATATTTAAACGTACCATTCCATCGTCTAAAATTCGATGTAATCATATGCTTTAAAACTGATCATAATTTTGTGTAAAAGCAAAGTCTTTAGCTTAGAGAAAACCTGTTTTACATATCGTGTAAATATTCAGAATTAAAATTTAAAGCTTTTAAGCGAAATGGGAATTTATAAAAGAATCTAACCCAAGAAAATATCATCCACTAGGAATCATTCTTATGGTATACGAAGGACTTCTCCAGTGCTAAGAACTTTGCTATGTTTTTTCTGTCAAATTATTCCGATTTTAATTCTCAATAAAACCTACACTATTTAATATGCTTCAATAAAATTACTATATGATGATGTTACGAGGGTTGCTATTTTTAATTCGGCATCTGGGAATACAAAAAGTTATAGCTAATGACTACAATGCTTTTTATCTCTCTTTTTTAAGTAGGATAATCGAGTTTAGAATGTGATAATGTTCCTAGCCTAGACTCCAACCTCCTATGTGGTCATTTGTGTCACAGGAAATAGAATCCATTATGAACTTCAAACTGAGTCTAAATTCATCAAAATACCGATTATGGGAAGGTACAATTATATGAGGGCTATACCAATGCGTGGCCCTGTATAGACCAATTTTCTGCCATATTGTTACCGACTAGTTGAAAGCCTAGAACCCATGTCGCACTGGGTCGTAGAATCCACTGTCATGGTTACTCTTGTGGTTCATTGTAATAAATACTTGCGTATGTACATGTTTGTATATGTACCCGGGGCATAGTAATATAGTGGCCAATAAAATGACTGACGAACTAGTTTGAGGTGGTTCCCAGTAAATTTATGGCACAGTTAAGCCCCCTTTAAGCTATTAGATAAGCAGCTTCAAAAAGGGTCTCATCGAAGAAGTTGCCAGAAGATAACACTTGAAACCGGTAGCAAGGTATCTAGGGCCACCTAGTCGGTAATCTAGTATGCCTGATCTAAGAATCGTGATGGGCATATTGACTAGCATCTATCTTAAGACTGTATAAAGGTTGTCCTGATTAGTACAGACTATGTGAGGGAGAAGGGGTAGAGACGATTGAACATTTTTATGAATCACCAGTGCCACAAGTCCACGAAGCAAGCAACTTTGATTTCAGATATCAAACCCTTGCTTTGGAGTTTCTTGTAAAAATAAGTCCCAAGACCCCTAGATGGTAGCAAGGACCGAAATCCACGAGAAATTTTTATTTATACATGTTCCCTAAATAGCAGCCCTCATAATTTTTGAGATAATGAATAAATCATGTGGTATATATAAAATGTAATAATCTAACACCATATACCTATCGAATATAAAGAACGTCCTTTAAAAACAAATGATTTGATGAGTACAGACAAGATGTTTATTACAATTGTTCTTTTTCCAATTGGATGCAGATATGTTTCGCAATTAGATATTTGATGGGTGTTATACGTAAGGGCCACAGTTTTTACCATATGTAAGGCCTGGGTCCACCTCTCTAAACAAACAACATGGATTGTGTTTTGCGATTTTCTCTTTGTTTTTCTTTTTTTCAGGAAAGTGTGTGTGCTGCAACTTTCGAAATGTAAACCAAGGAATAAATAAAAAAAGTGTAATTTTCGTGTTTCCGTATAAAAAATCGTACGGAATCTTATATTTAGAAATGTAATACTACCAATAAAAATGGGGGGTATATAATATAATATGTATAGTATTGTGTTGTCGTATAAATTGAAAAAAAGACATTTGTATTTCTAAAAAATAAACAAAAATATACCAAAAATTAAAAAAAAAATATATTGTAAAATTGTATTTTCCTCTTAAACACAGTTTCTAATTAGAGAAATTAATTCGTTAGATTGTTTTCTGATTAAATGATTTGTATTTTTTCTTTTCTGGTTGTTCTAAATGTAGTGATTGATGGTGGTGCTGTTGTTATTTCACAATACATAAAAAACAATCATTATGTGTGTGTGTTATGGGGGCGGTTTGGGGAGATTAATAATGGGGGGATTTCTTTTTAGTGTTTCTATAATCATAATAATGCTTAAACCAAAATCAGCAGCTGCAACAGCCCTTAGAAGACGTATTTTTTGTTGAATTTTCTTTTTTTTCCTTTCGTATAAAAAAACATTGTGATTTTTGTTGTAGGATTAGTTAATTTCTGTGTGGTGTGGTGTTTTGTTGTTGTTGTGAGTGGCATTTTGTGGTGGTGTTGAACTTGTTTTTTTTTATAATTTTTCCTTATATGTTTTTGCTTGGCATACATTTTTTCTTATAATGTATACTACTTTTTGATTGATTATGTGTTTTATAAACTATTAAGACAAAAATGCATATTTTGATCCTCCTCCTTCCTTTGTTTTCCAATCTAAGTTGGCTCTGCTTTCCAAATGAATGATGGACTTAAAAAACTCCTGGTATTTTGTGAGTAGTGTAGGTTCTTAACAATCAGTATCATACCAGGCAGCCAAATTGTTGTTGTCGTTAGGTGGTGTAGGCATAGCATCCAAATCGAAGTTCAATGCGCCAGCATCAATTTCACCAACATCCATGTCCATGGAATATGGTGAAGTTGGTGCAGCACTGGGTGGAGCACCACCACCGCCACCGCCTCCTACAGGACTGCTGATTTCTAGACCCTGCATCGAGTCTATTGGTAGAGTATCATATCCTGTTTGAAATATAAAATAAAAAAATGTTAGCGTTTATTGAAATGCATTTTTTTAAATTTTCATAAATCTTCTATGAATAAAAAGAAAATTATGAATCATAATTTGCAATAAAAAAAATTTCAAAAAAATAATAATATTTTGTGAATTTCATTAAAATACAAAAGCATGCAAACTATCAATGGAAAAAATCGACAAGTATTCTAAAAATGAAAAGATGATGATCATAACATGCATGCAGTGAGTGAATACGGTGATGTATTTTAGTAGTAATTTTAGGTAAAAATTGGAGAATATTTAACAGAAAAAAATATTCGAAACACCGACGCTTCAAATTTTGAAAGGTATCGCCCAAAAATCTAGTGTCGAGCAGAGAATCCCAAAAGGGCATGATAAACACTCATAGATCTGCATCTTTCGTACACATATAGGTACGAAGTATTTTTTAGAGTTACAACCCGCTTGTCCTTCTTTTTATTGAAAGCCATAAATGTTGACTTGATTTTAATTGATTAAATGTACCGGGTGAGATGAAAAAAACTGCAACCAACTTCAGACTGCTATCATTTCTAAGCGCCTCGTCTGACAGCTGTTAATATTATTACAGTGATAGCTCATTATATTGCTAACAAGCGAACAAAAGCATGTTGGTGAGAATTTTCTAGAAAAAAGCGTAGCCCGACGTCAAGGAAGTGGACGGAACAAAACAGCAACATCAGCAGAAATGGTTCGTAAAGTAAAGAAGCGATTTGATCGAAACCCGCGTTGCAATGGCCGAAAAATGGGTCGTGAGCTGAACATATCACAAAATTCAATCGGCAAATATTGAAAAATGAGCTCGGGGTAAAGCCATAAAGCCATTGAAATTGCAAAAAGTGCAAGCTTAAGAGTTGCTTCGCTTGGCCGAAAGTGGTGAACTGCCGAATTTGGTTTTCTCCGCTCCGATGAGAAAACATTCGTTGTCCAGCAGATTGTAAGCAAGCAAAATGATCGTGTTTTCTTGCCAAAGAGGTCAGCTGAAATGTGCACATTCGATTGGCCACCAGAACTCAAGACTCAAGCCGACCATGGTGATGATGTGGGCCGCCATAACAGCCGATGGTCGCTCTCCGCTCGTATTAATTGACCGTGGCATTAAAATAAATGGTGAATATTATCGCGAAAATATTCTGAGGGAGAGTATTAAAGCCTTGGGCACGCAAACATTTTGGCCGCAGACCTTTGACAGGACTCAACACCATCGCACTCAGCACGTGCCACCCAAGAATGCTTACAAAATGAGGTTCCTCGCTTCATTTCCAACGCAAAATCTCCGTATACCAATCTGTAGTACTATTGTGTCTGGAGTATTTTGGAAAGCAAGGTTGGCACTAAAAAATACCAAAGTGTTGATCACCTTAAGCAAGCGCTTCGCCGGGAATGGGCCAAAATACCGCCGAGCAACATTCGGGCAGCGGGTGACGGTTTTGTGGCATCTCCGTCACCGCCGTTAACAAACAAGACGAGAGATGGTAACTCTGACAAGAGGCAACAAAGAACAAAGCAAAAGTTGGTTGCTCGGGAAATCTTCAAAACCACAGTTGTGGCAAATCGACCTTATTGAAATTGAATTCTTTTTATTGTTTCTTTGAACTAATATTAAATAAAATAGTTATTTAAGAGTTGTTAAGATAACCGCTGTGTTTTAATTCTTCAACTACCCCAATAACCATCGTTTTTTGCCGTTTGAAGGCCATAATTCGTGACAAAATTATGGCGTTTGACTTTGTTGCAATTTTTTTAAGGATGCTGGCGACGAGAACATATTCAGTTTCCCCCCTTCCAAGCGTTCGTGCTTCTCGATACATTTTAGTCTCTGCTATGTGTTTATAATTTGCACAGTTTTTCTGTTAATTTCAAAAGAATTTCTGCTACAAAAACCAAATAGAATGATATCGAAGAATTTAAATTTTGTTCCTGCCCGCATATAAATTGCTTTGTTCTTGAACCTACAGGAATCTACGGATTTGCAATGTCTTGTTCCAATTAGGGAAAATCGGTTAACGTAGTATAAACTTTTACATTCGTGCAGTTCTGGAACAGGGGAAATATTAACTATTTCCTTAAATGAAGGTAGGTAATCAAATGTTAGAAAAAAGTTAAAAAAAAACTGATGGTAAATAAATTATAGATGAAAAAAATGTATTCTAATGAGAAGAAGAAAAATGATTTTGTTATTAGATTTTGAACACCAATTCTCAGATTGCCTTTAGGGGTAGTAACTGCTGTTCAAATGTCAGTTATGTGATTCAGTTGAAAGCGAAAAACGATATGCAAATATATATATAATCCATATTTATATATTATATTTAATTTTATATGTATATATATATAATGAACATGCATAAAAATGGTTGTGTGATTGATTATAATTTTGCATGCCTTAACAAAACATAAATTTAAACAATAACTTGAAATGAAGATGGAAAATAATTGAAAACCAGGACGACGCTCGCCGTTGCTTAACAAAACTTTAAGGAAAATATAGAAAATATAACTAAACAAACCGGAAAGATTGAAATAAACTAATATTCAAATGATGTATGATAAAATCAAGTTTTTTGGTTGTGTTTCCATTTTTAAAATAGAGGTGGGGAAAATCGTTTTCAAAAAATTTGGAATGCAATTAAATAAAAAAACTGTTAGTATTTATGGAAGACGACAATCACCTACAAATATTATGCTATTTGATAATTGTTCAGGCCTTCATAATTTTTTTCTTGTGGGGGTTTTAAAATATTTTTTTTCAGTTAAAAAAAGTTACGTGTTTCTCAGAATTATCCGGCGTTATGTTTTTTTTTCTTATTATTTCGTTTGTGTATTTTGTTATTTTATGGTAATTTTCAAATAATTCTAATTAAATACTGTGGTTTGTGTTGTTCAAGAGATTATTTTGGTTTGCCATTTTATTGTTACATATAATATTTCATCTTGTTTTATAATCGTTTTCTTATTATTATTCCATGTTCAAATGATGATTTAATGATGGTACATGTTAGGCTGGCTTAACTGTATACCGCACACATATTTTATAATTTATAATTATATTGTTTAAGAGTGTAGTAGCAAAAATTGTGTAGTTGTTTGTTGTGTTTAGTTTGTTTTTTTTTTTTTTTTTTTGAAAATTTTGATTTTTTTTTTTTTTTTGGTTTGATTTTGTTTTTCCAAGTTTATCGATCATTCGAAATGATATGCGTAAGCATTTGTTCAAATAAGTAAAAAAGAGATAAAAAGACACAATTTTATTAGTTTACAGGATAATTTCCTTAGTTGGTTCGCTTTTTTTGATTAGAATGATAAACTAATGGTGGGTAACTTGTTGTTGTAGTGGTGGATTGGTTATGGTGGTGGTGTGGTAATGACGGTGGTAACGATTTAACATTTTGGTGATCAATCATTAATTGGTTAACTATAAAGTATTTATTTTTTACGAACAAAAAATGAAATAAAAAAATTGAGAAGACGGCAACACGGTGCTAAACCATGTACTGTATCATCATTATCAAATCAGTTTGTTAAAAAGGAAACAAAGTAATTGTTTTATTTAGTAAAACCAAAAATCAATAAGTAATGTATGTTTATAAAAAAATATAATAAGGGAAATTATCAAAATATTGAAGAAAATGTAAACCACTAACTAAGAGTATTTAATGCGGAATTTTTCTGATACAATTTATACCACGATAATTTGATACAGAAGAGGCCCGCAATAAGGTGAGAACTCGATTCCATTCAATTGGCTGTGGGTAAGTAAATAACTTCGACAAAAATTTCCGACATGTTCAAATTAACCACTGAGTAGAACGACGCGACCTTACTGAAAGCCGGAGCACTCCCTACTCTTCAGTGAATGGGCACTTTTTTTGTACTGGATATTTTAGCTCAATTGTTTCAAGCAGCAATGAGTGAACTGAGACTAAGGGAAGCTGATAGATGACACTCTTCACGGTTTGGTCATGCACGGATACTGGGCATACTAGTAATTCGAATTTGTGATTACATGTCGACCTCAAATTGGTTTGAGGCGGTTCCCAGTCGATTAATGTATCGATTGATGAGAATGTTGAACCACCAATAAGCTATTATGCTTCAAAAAGTCTCTCACCAAAGAAAATGACATTTGGAAACCGGTTTCAGGGTATTTAAGGCGATATTAAGGCCGGTAATTTCGAAAAGAATTAGCTCCCTTCCATAATTTTGTAGGTTTGATATAAAAATCGTGGTAGGCATACTAACTGGCCACTACAATATGAGATATCTGACCTTAAGCTGGGATAACACTGTTCCAGACTACTGTAGACTGTGTAAAGATAAAGAGCAGGTGGAGGCGTTTGAACACCTCCTACTATGCAGATGTCCCATTTTATTCAATAAGAGGCATAGGATATATTTGGCAGGTGGGAGGGAGATAGAAACTCTAACTTTACCCTAACCTACAACATTATGTGTTAGGGTATTATAAGTTTGATTGAGCAAAAAATTATGTAACAACCCCGAAATATTGATCCTTCACATAAGAATCTGCACATGGATCTTCCTATCTTGCCGAGCTGAGTTGATATAGCTATGTATGTCCGTCCGTCTGTCCATGTTAATTTGTAATCCAGCTACAGGTCGCAATTATGGCCCGATCTTGACGAATTTAGAATGTAGTTGGAGCTAGAGCCAGAATAGAAGCCTATTGGAGATGATCGCATAATATTTAAGGGTTGAAATTGGCCAAAAACAGAAAAATTGTCTGATTTTGCAGTTTCTCTATAGGCCACAATTATGAACCAATCGACGCTGAAATTTGCATGGGTTTAGAGATTAGGATTGGACAAAAGCTTACCAATTTGGGCGGTCATGAAATGGACCAAAAACAGCAAATTTTCCTGATTATTCAGATGCTCTATAGTTCAAAATTATGAACCAATCGACGCGGAAATTTAAATGGGGTTAGAGTTTAGGTCTGGCAGAAGCTTGCAAATGCGGGTAAAATAGGCCCTAACGTTTATGTAAGAAAATAAGACAATTTCCACTAAACCGCGAATATTTTAAATCCCAGCCAAATCACAAATATATGATCAAAAGGTCACCTCTGATCATTAAAATGGTGCTGATAGCAAAGAAATCGGATATATGGCAAAATAGCTACAATATATATGTAAAAGAAATATATCTTATTTATTCTTCTTATAAGAACCGCTGGGCCAATTTTTACAATCTAAGAAAATCGCGGAAAAATATATCAATAAAAGTTTTCAATTTTTGTCATATTTTTTATCGCTTGCAATTTTTTTCAATTTGGCTTACAATTTTGAATTTTAAATTCTTTAAATTTTTACACCGCGCAACGCTACCTTTTTCAGGCTCCTCACGAAACTTTGCATGGGGGTAGGTTTGGACCAGAATTAAAGCCTATTGTTCTTAAGATGTACATTTAAGGGTTCAAATGGACTAAAAATTAAAATTTTCTAATTTTTTAGTCGCCCATAATTGAAAACCAATCGACAGGGAATTTCGCATCAGAAGAGAGTTAAGGACAGGGAAGAAGCATAGCATTTTGGACGACCATTGGATTATATTAACTGTAAAATGGGTCACAACTTTCGTGTGAAATTGTTTTGAATAATTGGCCAAATTCCCCGGGTCAAAAACCAAGGGGTAACATCTTGGCAGGGCTCTCTAAAATTCTTTCAAAAAATAAATAGTGTCTGATTTGAAAGATGATTGGTTTTATCCTTCCGCTAAACGAATATGGTTGTATATTTCTTTGAACAACGCTGGGAAATATTGCGACATTACTTAGAAAATCATGGTAATGTTGCAGGATATGTACGGAAATTGTGCACTGATTTTAAAATAATCCTTATTTCAAACTGTTATATAGACTTCTAAATTATTTTATACAAATGCTTTGCAATTGTTTTTTTTTTTAATTATTCTCATTTCCACAAGTTTAATCCTTATTGTGAACATAACCTCAACGTCATAAAATTTAAATTCAAATTTTAAAAATTATTAAAAAAAAAAAATTGGAAAAAATATTTACGAAAAAATTGCAAACGAGTTCAAGGCTGGGGTGGTGTTGGGCATTGGGTTGTGATGGGTGATTTTCATTTGCTGGCAAAAAGTGAAGATGAAATGGGGTTGCGAGTTATGGTGTCTTAGTTGGGGATGGATATTTAAAACGGGAATGGTAACTGCACAAACGACAAACGACAGAGAGGGGAAGGTGGGGAGATATATTCGACTTTTAATGTTAAAAAAAGTAAACGAACGAACAAACATTTGAACGAGAACTGTTTTTTTTGGTTTTGGGACGAAATCACAATATTTTGCTTTCAAGTTGCTTTGTCGAGTTGTTGTCATTTTATTGCGCAAATCAATGTCAATGTTGAATAATGAATTTTATTCCGACTAATGTTAGTACAAAAAATGTATTAAAAATGTTGTAGTTAGTTGTCTTGATGTTATGTTGAATAACTGTTTGTTTCTACATGCTTCGTTGTTTTTATTATTATTTTTCTGATATAAAATGTGAATCTCGTACATGAGGGAAGAGAAGGGGGGAAAAATAACAAGTAGTAGCTTAATTTTTTGTTTTACTTAAATAAATTATTATGGCCGAACAACATACGTACCTTGTTGGAATGCACGACCGCCATGAGAGCTATGGACGCTAGGTGGCCCCTGGCCGTAGAGACCTTCGTATGCTTGCTCTGGGCCAAGCATATCCTGTGAGGTTGAGAATTTTCGGAGCGCAGGATTGATTGTTGTTGTTTGTTTTGTATAGTTTAACGGTATTTTGAAACATGTTGCACATGAATATTGTTTGTTTTGTTTTTGTTATTAGTTTTTTTGTCGTCGTTTTGTTTCAGAATATTTTATTTATAAAATAAATATGGTAACAAGAAAATGTTACAAAAGTAAATAGAGATTGGTTGTTGTTTGGTTTCGGATGTTGTTGTTTTTTTTTTTTTTTGTGTCACACATTAACCATAAACAAATTTTTGGTTTTTTGGGGGAAGAACGAACGAACGAACAAACAAAACAATTTTTGGGTGGTTGTGATAATTGCAAATACAAGAAGGGGGAGGAGGATCATCCAACAAACATAGTTTTTTTTGTTTAAATTGGCCGAAAATGTTTCACGAATTTATTTTGATTTTTGATATAATGGTGCAGGGGAAGCGAAATTTATTTTCCATTTCAAATTTTACGTGATTTTGATAATGTTGTTGTTGTGTGTGTTTTTGTTTTTTTTGGCAAAAAAAACATTTGGTAGTGAAAAGGTGACATTTTGATTTGGTGATTGGTTGATTTGGTTTTTTTTTTGGTATTGGTGTTGGAGTGGTGATATATTTTGCAACAACAATAAAAACATAGAAAAAAAGAAAGAAAAAATAAAACAAAAATAAATAAACAAAGCAAAAATAATAATTAAAAAAATATGGGTTAGATAAATTAACAAATTTAAATAACAATAAGTTACAAAATAAGCTTAAGCTTTATAAGCTACAATAATTTAGTATCGCTAATGTTTAAGGTAGCTAGGGTGTGGTATATTAACGAAGGAAGGGGTAACATTTTGATAAATTATTTTTCATATAAAAATATTCAAACAAACTATATAAAAAACGAGAATCGGGCCAAGACCAATTTTATACGATATATACACTATATCACTCGATACGGTCTCAGGTTTTTTATTTTCATAACAAACTAAATGAGTGCTTCGCTCTGACGCAAAGTTATTTGCAAAGCTCCAATTGCGACCTCATTATTAATTTAAACTTTCAAATGAGACTCAAGGTTGGGAAGTTCGTTTGATAATATGAGGGTGGTTTTGGAAGTGTGTACTAAAAGATTTGGAAATATTGGGTGAAGGGATGGGGCTAGAATCCATAAATTTGTCGTTGAGGTTTCTGTTGGTATATGAAGTTGAGGTATGAAGATGGTTTTGGAAATTTGTACTACAATTGTAAGAAAAAACATAGTAAAAAAAAAACTTAGTCAAAAGGACAAAGGAATGAGCTAAAATTCTGAAAATTGGAATGAAAGTCGCTGATGGAGTGCAGAAGAGATGTACCAAAAGGTTTTTGCAAATTCGAACTTTAAGGCTACGCAAAGTTCTAAAACGGTACTGAACTTCCAAAATGGTACCATTTGTTATTATGTGCACGGATAGAGTTTCGTGATATATTGTACGAAAAGTACTGAATGGTACCACAGGGTGAAATGAAAAAACTACAACCACCTTCAGACTGCTGTCATTTCTAAGCCACTCGTCCGAAGGCTATTAAAATTATTCCAGCGAATGCTCATAGTATTGTTTACAAGCGTACAAAAGCATTTTGGTGAGAATTTTCGAGAAAAAAGTTATTCGTGATGGAATTTAAGAGAGAAGTGTGATTTCTTTATATTTGGCTGGAAAACCACAAGTGGCTATCGTTAGAGCACTCCAGTATTTAAAAGTGAATAACTGTTTTGTGTCTCCTTGCCATGTCTTTGAAGTGGATGGAAGAAAACACCATCATCAGCCGAAATGGTTCGAAAAACAAAGAAGCGACTTGATCGAAACCCGCGTCTCAGTGGCCGAAAAATGGCTCGTGAGCTGAACATATCGCAATACTCCATTCGGCAAATATTGAAAAATGAGCTCGGCGTAAAGCCATTGAAATTCCAAAAAGTGTAAGAACTGCCAAATTTGGTTTTCTCCGATGAGAAAACATTCCCTGTCCAGCAGTTTGTAAAAAAAAAACTAAATAATCGTGTTTACTTGCCAAAGAGGTCAACTGAATATGTGCACCTTCGTTTGGCCACCAGAACTCAAACGCCGGCCATGGTGATGGTGTGGGCCGCCATAACAGCCGATGGTCCCTCTCCGCTCTTATTAATCGACTGTGGCATCAAAATAAATGCCGAATATTATCGCGAAAATATTATGGAGAGTGTATTAAAGCCTTGGGCACGCACATATTTTGGCCGCAGACCTTGGACATTCCAACAGGACTCAGCACGCGCCACCCAAGAATGGTTACAAAATGAGGTTCCTCGCTTCATTTCTAGCGCGAAATGGTCACTAAAATCTTCGGATACCAATCCGCAGGATTGTGTCCTGTGTCTGGAGTATTTTGGAAAGCAAGGTTGGCACTACAAAATACCAAAGTGTCGATCACCTCAAGCAAGCGCTTCGTCGGGAATGAGCCAAAATACCGCCGAGCAACACTCGGGCAGAGTGTGACGGTTTCTTTTTCCGTTTGAAGGCCATAATTCGTGCCAAAGGTGACCTATTCGAACAAATCTAAACTTATTCTAAAATGTTATGCTATTTCCGACATTTTTTTGCTTTCATTCAATAAAATTTAAAAAAAAAAATTAAATATTATTGGGTTTGACTTTGTTGCGTTTTTTTTTTTATCTCACCCTGTTAAGAAGTGGATTCGGCAAACTGAAATAATTGTACATTTTGAGTACTAAAAAGGCCAGCACGAACTTCTGGCCGACGGAGTAACGTTAAATATATAGTAAAATGTAACTTGGAAATTTAGAATGGCTTAAAATGTATTTGCAAATAAAAAGAGTACGAGTGATATAGTGTAGAATGTAAAACAAAATTTTGTCTCACTAATTTCATCTACATAATTATTCATCGATATATTAAAATAATCTTATTGTTTTTTACATAAATTAAACAAAAAATAAATCATAATTTTTAAACAATTAAAATAATCTTTAGATATGACTGATTTATATTGTATGCTTGTTTGATAAATATTTTGATATATTAAATATACTGTAGCTAATTTTGTTTCTTAAAAACAAAAATAAAATGGTATTTTTTACATGTGTGTTTTTTTTCCGATAATAACAATACTAAAGTATTGGTTACTACTTTCGTTAATTTTTTTTAAAACAAATATTATACATAACGAACCTGTAAATCTGGACCCAAGCCCAAGTCTGCATTGCCCCATATATTGTTGTCTTCACGCAACAGTGAATTGGTTAGCTCTATGGATAGACGTTTCTTGTAATCTTGTGGTTTATCTTCGCTCATACGGAATAATACAGCTGCAGCATATGTGGCCACACCCTCGTTGCGAGAGTGTAATAAATCGGTTAGGGGCCCAGTGGCACCTTCTTGTTCGATAATTTCAGCGCCTTCTTTATCGGCTGCCAGTTCACAAAGAACACCGGCAGCAACACGCTAAAAGAAAAAGTTAACAACGTTTATAACAATCTCAACAAAAACTTATAACAATTTCGCAATTACCTGTATATTTTCAATTTCATTGAATAGCAAACGAACAAATATCGGTATAACCGATTGTTGGCGTATAAGTGCACGATTATGTGACTCTCTAGCCAAAATATGCAAAGCACCGACAGTGCCTTCGACAATCTCCTCCATGCGTACACCGTCAGCATAGGCCGAAGGCTGTTGGGAGCCAGTAGTGGCCACAGAAGAACGTTGCTAGAAATAACAAACATTTATCATTAATGGCGGATATTTTTCAAATAAAAACACTTTCAAATGAAGTCTGCTGCCCAATACCAATTTTATGGAACCTCAATAACGGCACAATTCAAATTGGAAAAGTTGCCAATCTTTTGTTCCAATCTCACACATTTCTTCAATTTTAGTAACCCATTTTACAAATGTATCCATTTTACTTACACGTTCGGTATCTTGGAAAGCACGCATTAATAATCGCACTAAATGATGTATGGCTCCATGTTCTCGCAGTGGAGCAGCATTGGCTGGACACAAAGCCAAGTTGCGTACCAAACCTATGGCGGCCTTAATCAATGGCCAACGTGATGGTGGATGCAATAGCTTAACAATCACCGACAGGCCATAATTCAAGCGAACAGCATTTTGGGCCATTTCCGAATCGGCATGGCGAGTAGTCAAATGACGTAATGCACAGACTGCTGGTTCGGTAATCTCTTCACGATCACCGGCATTTATAATCGTACGTACCAAAGCATCAACACCACCCACTTGACAGACGGTAGCCTTGTTCCTCTGATTATTACAAGTCAAATTCGAGAGTATGCCAGCGGCACATGTTACAACATTAACATCGGTCGAGGCCAAGACCTGGACCAACGACTGCAACAACGGCTCAAGACCATCAACTTTTGTTGCAGCATCCGACAAATTGCGCAAAGTCCACAGACAATTTTGCACCAGACGCGGTGATGGATTGGACAAGTGCATTGCCAATGCCTGCATACCGCCAGCATCAACAATAGCCGGCTTATTGCTCGAACACACAGACAACACTTTCAAGACCCGCGAAGTGGTCCACAACAACTTCTCGTAATCATAGGAACGCATAATGCGCACCAATTCATTTGGACCTCCGGAAGCCAAAATAATCAATTTGCTTTCCTGGTTGCCGTAGGCCAAAATTTGCAAACAATCTGTGACAATGGCCAGGAATTTAACATTGTTACGCTGTAATAGGGTGACCATTTTCTGTAGACCGCCAGCCAAACGTACGGCCATTTTTGAACCATCTTGATGTAATAACAAGTTATGCAAAGTGGTGATAGCATAGAAGAGTACACTCTCAACCGGAGAAGACAACAGTTTCACCAAAGCTGGTATACCACCGCTCTTGAATATAGCCAAGAGACCTTGTCGATGATGTGACAAATTATGAAGAGTACCAACGGCAGCTTTAGTACTTTCCAAATCGTTACTGTTCGAAATGGCACGCACAAGAGCTGCCACCATTTGGGGACTGTTCATAATGGCATGACGGGAAGCTTCCTTCTTCGACAATTGGTGTACCATCATGGCTGCTTGGGAGACAACTACTTGATCTTCATCGTTAAGCAATTTTATCAATTCGGGTATGGCACGTGTGGCCAACTCGGCATCATCTTGGTAATTGATTAAATTGACAACGGCATGTTTTAACATTTGTGATGGTTCGGCCAAACGTTGAACAGCCGTCGGTTGTTGTGGATCAAATTGTGTTGAGGGTATTTCGATGCCTTCCTCCAATGTTTCGGGGAACATGGCGGCGCGGACACGCTGCGAACGTGTCTGGCTTAGCTGTTGATTCATATCGTCAACTTGATCCTGGGTGAAGTTCTGTGGAAAACCCGTGTCCAAATCGAACATCAGGGGGTCACCCTCCATTTCTTCATCTTCTTTGCCGGATAGTGAGGGTGCCTGGGTAACAGCACCCGAATGGATACCAGAATCGACCAGATATGAATTTTGTTGCCACATTAGGGTTTGTTCCTTGGACGAAACCATCGGTGGCAAATCCGGCGGATTGTACTGATTGTTGTGAGACACTGAAAATAGATAAAAGTTCGTGGTACGTTTTAGAAAGTTATAGAAACAAAGTGAGTAAAGAGGTAAGTGGGAAGCAAAAACATAAAATAAATCTAAGTGTGTATATCGTTAGATGTTCCTACAAGCTTAGAAACGACTGTACTGTGTTCCAGGCGGAAATCTTTGCGGTCAAAAAAGACATAGACCTATTGGTCACGAGGTTAGCGGTCCGGTGATTACATACATCAATAGCCAAGCGGTACTGAAAGCTTTAAACTCCTCCACCCTTATGTCTAGGGCTGTTCTGGAATGCAGGAGATCCTTGGAATATTCCTGGCAACGAGACTGCAGACGTATTGGCTAGGCTAGGGTCTGAGTCAGCTATCCTTGAAGTTAAGAACTCGGTTAAACCACCCCTGAAACCTAGTTTAAAACTTGTCGCTGCAAGGTAAGGTCAATGACCTCGAAATGGAACAGCGATGATGTTGATTACAGTAGAATCTGTCGAGACGTATCAACAAATCAAAACTACAGGGTGAGATGAAAAAAACTACAACCAACTTCAGACTGCTGTCTTTTCTAAGCCTCTCGTTCGACAGCTGTTAAAATTATTCCAGAGACAGCTTAACATATTATTTACAAGGGTACAAAAGCATTTTGGTGAGAATTTTCCAGAAAAAAAGTTATTCGTGATGGAATTCAAGCCTTGTGGTGTGATTTCTTTATATTTGGCTGGAAAACCGCAAGTGGCTATCGTTAGAGCACTTCAGCATTTAAATGTGAATGAATCTTTTGTGTCTCGTACCATCGCTCGTTACCGTGGTACTAGTAGCGTAGCCCGACGTCAAGGAAGTGGACGGAACAAAACAGCAAGATCAGCAGAAATGGTTCGAAAAGTAAAGAAGCGACTTGATCGAAACAGTGGCCGAAAAATTGGGTAAAGGCATTGAAATTCCAAAAAGTGCAGAAACTTACACAGCAGCCGAAAGAAAATAGACTCAAAAGAGCTAAAGAGTTGGTTCGCTTGGCCGAAAGTGGTGAATTGCCGAATTTGGTTTTCTCCGATGAGAAAACATTCGTTGTCCAGCCGTTTGTAAAGAAACAAAATGATTGTGTTTACTTGAGAAAGAGTTCAACTGAAAATGTGCACCTTCGGTTGGCCACCAGAACTCAAGCGCCGGCCATGGTGATGGTGTGGTTCTCCATTACGGCCGATGGTCGTTCTCCGCATTTCTAGCACACAATGGCCACCAAAATCTCCTGATACCTATTGTGCCTGGAGTATTTTGGAAAGCAAGATTGGCACTAAAAAATACCAAAGTGTCGATCACCTCAAGCATGCGCTTCGACGGGAATGGACCAAAATAACGCAGAATATCATTCGGGCAGCGTGTGACGGTTTCATTGACCGTTTGAAGGCCATAATTCGAGCTAAAGGTGACCACTTCGAACCAAATCTAAACTTATTCTAAAATTTGATGTTATTTCCGACATTTTTTGCTCTCATTCAATAAAATTAAAAAAATAATGTGAAAATTATGGTGTTTGACTTTGATGCAGTTTTTTTTATCTCGCCCTGTATAGCCTCACTTACACCTAACATGGTTTCATAAAGCACGTTTAATAATGAATCTGGTAATCTTGGAGTCTATGCTATGACTAAGACTTAAGGTAACAATCGTTGAAACAAAAATTTAAAGAATTGTTTCCTTAAATAAAAACTAAACGTATCCATTTTCAGATTTCCCCTAACATAGAAACAAACTCAATATCAACACAAAAATAAAAATCCATCAACTCAAACCCCTTATTGAATTACTTTCATTAAATGTGATTAAAATGTAATACAGGATGCGATGGTGAATTTTATAAAAAAAAAAATAAAGAGTTTATTTCCTATAGACAGGGGAAAGAAAAGGAAAAAATCAGTTTCCAGCACAAACAAATCCCCCACAAAGGACCATAAAGGACATATAAATAGTAAAGAATAAAAAAGGAATGCATTAAGTTATTGAAAAAGAACAGATACCAAACATTGAGTTGAGTTGAGTAAGAGTAAATACGTAAATGGGCAGAAGAGACAGACTTGGCTGATTTAATGGTGGTTTTATAAAATTCCCATCATCGCCGTCATTGCCAGCCAGCCAGCCAGGTCGTCCACAAGAGTATTGCTGCTTTGCTCAATGAGTTAGGCGATATATAAATTAAAGAAGAGGCATTAGATGGAGGAAATGGGCGCTGGTTTTGCTATTCGCCGCCGCCATAATATTGGTTGGTATTCCTTTCTCGTCGTTGCCATATAACAACAACAACAAAATCAATATAAAATTGAGATTGAAATATTCATAACTAACGGTATATTTCAAAGAGCAAAAATATATATTGCAAATATGAAAAAAATATGGAAATTTTAGATGGCGATGGTGATGATGAACAATGAACGAACCATCAAAAAATATGCAACACATTATAAATTCCAACAAAATGAAGACGACAGCAGGAATAGATTAAAAATTTTACAGCCAAAGGCCAGGCCAGAGCAAAATATCCTCTCATCATCACCATCATCATCGCAAACTACACATAAACATTCGCACACTTAGATTTACAACCACGTATAGAAGAATATTTCGTTATTACAAGAAGCTGCTGATAGTGAAAGACTAGCCAGCCAGCCAACCAACCAACCCGTCGGTTGCTCGTTCGGTCATTTATTTTAGAGTAAACAGCGTGTTATTTCCAAGGCAGCAAAGAAAACAAACATCCTATGAACCAAGTCAACACTGCAGAAAATAAAATGAACAACATCAGCGTGTGTCAACGTCATCCACCACCATTGCATTGCAGAGTTTTCATCGACAAGACTATCATCAGCCGGAAGAGAAGATACGGTGCGAACATTATGGCGAACAAATTTCTAGTCGTGCGCTGTTTACCAATTAAAGGGAAACCTATGGATTTAAATTTAAAAAATCATGTTTAAAAAGTGAAAATAGCGTCCAAATCATTGGACAAAAGTATCCATTTCACATTCAATGTTCGGAAAATACTACGGAATTGGAATCCATGCCAAATATTCTATATTTAGAAAGTTATAGGAAACATTTCTACTAACAAAATTCCGCTATAAAATGTGAAAGAAAAAATGAATTTACTAAAACTCAAAAAGGTCTCATTGCGCTCTATGTATGCAGATACGGCATAGTGAAGAGCTGAGGGTGAGACCACAAGTCATACATTGGATATATGCCACAGTGATATTACATTGTCTGACCTAAGGGTGCCTCTTCTGGTGGCATACGATTGGGGCCAGGTCGCTTATGTCTAAATAAATGGCCATGCAGAGAACTGCGTCTTTTCTGACAACTGGACCGTACCTCTCAGAAGCACTCCTCAATCTGCATCGAATTTGATACTAAACTTAAAGTTATTGGATATTTTGGCTCAGTTCCAAGCGATCTGCACAAATACTGTATATACCAATAGACGAAGGTGAAGGTGATAAAATTAGTAATTACATGCCCACTTTGTTCGACATTAATTACATTGACGTGACTATACCTGATAGGGAAGTTTGACCTGTCTGGTCATGTACACAAACGGTTCCAATATTGATGAAGGTACTGGTACTGGCTGGGCTATGATTAAACAATCATATAAACTTAATGACAATTACATCATTCTTCAGGCGGAGATTATATTTTTCGATTATCAAATGGCCCTCGAAACTATCAAGCCAAGAGCCAATAAATCGGGAGCAATTCTTGATTCCATAAAAGACCTCTTTAAAATACCCGAATTGTTGGGTCCCAGGACATATTAAAGGACTTGTTTGGTTTGGTTTGTGGGAGATAGAAACTCAAAAATTCTTCTCACAGGTAGACCCTATTCATCATCAATAAGTTTGCTTAAAGCATGGCTAAGTCAAACACCTTAGGAGTGGATCGATGTTTCTCATCTTCACAGCAAATCTTTTGTTAGTCGAAGTATTGAGAAGTGTGAAATGTGATGAGAATAAGATGCTTATTTCTCGCTTTATGAGCTTCATGGCTATTCCAAATTTTGATCCTTTGTGGGGGAGGTACCAGAAGGAGTGGACCGATATATCCCATCTCCACAGCAGATCTTGTGTTAGTAGAAATAATAGAATGTTTGAATTACGAAGAGAAGATATGTTTATTTCGGATTTTATAATCGTTGATGTTCCTTTGTTGTTGATCCTTTGTGGGGAAGGTACCAGAAGGAGTGGACCGATATATTCCATTTTCATACCAGACCTTGGGTTAGTAAAAATGTTGTGATGTGAGTAGTTTGAAGACAATCGGATTCTTACATATATTTTATAAGAGTTATAATTATTCACAATGTTGACACTTTGTGGGAGAGGTACTTGATTGAGTGGACCGATATTGTCCATTTTCGCACCTGACTTAGCACCGACAAAAATATTAGGATTTGCAAGGTTGGAACCAAATCGGATCATTCTTACTCTTTCTGTGCAGCAAAATATTTCTTTGAACATTTCGACCTTTTGTGGGGGAGCTATCAGAAGGAGTGGGCCGATATTGCCCATCTCGGAACTCGATTTAAGTTTGATAATAATATTACGTTGTACCAAGTTTAGACCAAATCGGATACTCCCTTCGAGAGTTACCGTGCGCACCAGACAGACGGGCGGACATCGCTAAATCGACTCTAAATGTCCTGAAAAAGATTTGGTCCAAAGAATCCTAGGGTCTAAATCTTTTGTTCGATGACGCACGTTTTGGCCGTATAAAATGATATATACCCTCTCTCCAGCCACATGACTGAGGGTATAAAGATTGGTTAGTAGAACTTGATTCGATCTTGGATTGTTCTGCTGCTTTGCATATGCTTTATCGCAATGACTTTGAAGTAGATACTACTTTACAAAGAAGAGCCCTCGTAAGCGATGATCCATGCAAAATATGCCTGGTGAGCAGCGTATCCAACGCATCGCAAAGAGGGGAGTGTGTAATAGTGTTCCCTGGCTTTCCTT